AATTGCCTAAGGCTAGGCATGTGCTCTGCCCTGTGAGGCAGCATAGTATTTTAACAGGAGTACAGCAGATCCCATAGGTGATCAGACCAGCATCCATTAGGGACAGAACCTACTAGGATCTAGCAGAGGAAAACACACCTCATGGTCCCGATGTGGCCCAGAGAAAGTGTATGCCTCTCAGAGAAAGAAACCTCGCTTCGAAAACAACAAGGAATTGGCACCCAGGTGCCAGGTGAGCAGGCCAGGACATACTCACAAAACGCTGCATGGCTCAGACCCAAGGAAGAAACAGAAGTTTGGGGGATGACTGAGAATCTGAGGAGGCCTGACACTAGGGTGAGGATGTGGTGCCAGATGCAGTGGAGAAGGAGGCTAGTACCCAAGCTGCTATGGCTTGAATAATGGTGTCCCTCCAAAATTCATGTTAGAAATTAATCCCCAGCTGGGCGCCTGTAATCACATGACTTTGGGAGGCCGAGGCAGGAGGATCTCTTGAGCCCAGGAGTTCAAGACCAGCCTGGGCAATGTGGTGAAACCCTGTCTCTACAAAAAATACAACAATTAGCCAGGTGTGGTGGTGGGCACCTGTGGCCCCCAGTTACTTCAGAGGCTGGGGTGGGAGGATCTTCTGAACCCGGGAAGTCAAGATTTGCAGTGAACCAAGATTGTGTCACTGCACTCTAGGCTGGGTAATAGAGCCAAATCCTGTCTCCAAATAAATAAATAAATATACATACATAAATAAAAATTTAAAAATAACTTAATCCCCCAAAACAACAGTATTAAGGGGTATGGTGTTTGTGGGGTAATTGAGTCATGAGGGCTTTGCCCTCATGAATGGGATTCACACCCTTGTAAAAGGGCTCCAGGTTCAAGGTGGTGCTTTCTCTTGCCTATCTGCCATGGGCCATGTGAGGACATGGCACTAAGGCACCATCCTGGAAGCAGAGAGCACTTCTCACCGGGCACCAAGGCCAGTGCCTTGATCCTGGACCTCATGGCCTCCAGAGCTCTAAGAAATAAATTTCTGTTCTTTAGAAATCACCCAGTCTCAGCCTGTTTTGTAGTACAAATAGACTAAGACACAAGCCCAAGTGGGGTGACCTCAGGGGGGCTCAGCAAAGGCAGAGACCAGCCCAGAAGCCAGACACCCTCCCCTAGCAGAGAGAACAGAAGAGATCGGAGGTGGGGAGTGCCAAAGGATCTGAGGTTACCAAGAAAGAGACTGCATTTCAAATTGAAAGTGACTGGCTGATATTAAAAATGGCAATTTCACTTTCTCTCACCAGCAAAAATGTGATTAGCAGGAAGGGAAAAGTTATGAACAAAGACAAATTGGGTTTCAGAAAGTACAGTCATAATGTTACCGAGACTTTGTGAGTTCTTGTGAGGAGAAGCGACCTTCTGTTGCCACTACTGCTCTTCCCTCTTTCCAGGGATGACTGCTCCTCTGGCGCCTGGAGGGCTGGTGCTGAGTCAGCTTCCCCAACTGAGATGGGTTTTCCTAATGTGTCTATGACCCAAGAGTTCCAGTGGCCCCCAATTCTTGGACCTCTACACCTTCTGAGACAGACTATAAAGTGGATGGCCATCAAGAAAAAAGCTGTCAGTTCTTACTTTATGAGAGCCAAGTCCTTAATATAAGCATGCTATGTCATATGCTTGGAATTGGCTTCTTAATCCCATTTATCTTCTCCTTTTCCTGTGTTCATAATCTGATCTCTAGAACTCACCAAGAGTGTTAGAGTCAGAGCCCCTTGTCATGGTTCTTTGCCTCATCTACCTTTAAGGAATGCCCCCCAATGCTCTCCAATACTTCTGAAAGACACATTCCAAGTTAAAGCAAATTGAGAAGACTTTATTGCAAACTCACAAAGAGAAGAAAAATAGGTAAGAATTCTTCATTACAAAAGTAATAGTATGATTTTGTTTTTTGTTTGTTTGTTTGTTTACTTGACACGGAATCCACTCTATTGCCCATGCTGGAGTGCAGTGGCGTTATCTCGGCTCACTGTAATCTCCGCCTCCCGGGTTCAAGCAATTCTCTTGCCTCAGCCTCCCAAGTAGCTGGGACTACAGGCGCCCACCACCACACCCGGCTAATTTTTGTATTTTTAGTAGAGATGGGGTTTCACCATATTGGTCAGGCTGGTCTCGAACTCCTGACTTCAGGTGATCCACCCACCTTGGCCTCACAAAGTGCTGGGATTACAGGCATGAGCTACCACGTCCAGCCAATAGTATGATTTTTGTGAGCCGTACATGGCTTGACTAAAAACCAGTGACTGAGTCACTTTCATTTTATTGCTGAAATATAAACAGTTTCACATATGAGGGAATAAATTCAATCCCACCTATATTTTTTTTTCTTTTTCACAATTTTGGAAAGCCTGTCTCCTTTTGAATACATTTTTAGTTGATTCATCTTTATTGTGAGGTGTAGACACAAAATCTCAGTCTCACAGTATACTTACATCTCTAAGTTTGTTGCCAAGATGTAAAATCAGGGCTTTTACATAAAGTAGTCAGATTTTAGGTTTCTGTTTAAAACTTAGAATTCTAGAACTAAGTCAACCACCATCCCTTCAACAAACGTGGCACCAGGAGCTTCTACAGGCTGCCCCACTGAGCACAGACTCAAGTTTTCCACAGTCCCCACCACTCCCTACTACCTACTACTTTCCTGCCACACCTCTCATTTATATTGCCCACCGGAAACTCTAGGAATTGGAATTCACAGCTCCTGACTTTCAGCCTTATCTTTAAACAAATAATCAAAAAATAAACAATTCAAGTTCCTTCATCAGAGATAAGGGACATTTGAGAGCAGTCAGTTATCTGCAGGGAAAAAAAAACGGTTATTTTAGTGCCCCTTGTCCATAACAGTTGGCTATGCCCAAGAGCCAAAAGGTAGAGACAACCCAAACTTCCCTCAGCAGATGAACGGAAAAACAAAAAGCACTATAAATACACCACGGAATACTCTAGTTTAAAGGGAACGGAAATTCTGACACACACTGCAACATGGACAAACTTTGAAGACACTTGCTAGGTGCAATAGGACAGTCACCAAAGGACAAAAGGACAAACACTGTACGATTCTATTTATATGAGGTTTCTACAGTAACCAAATTCACAGAAACAAAAAATAGAACCAGGGACAAAAAAAAAAAAAAAAAACGGAGGGTGGGGGACGGGATGGGGGAGAAAGGAAAGGGGAATTAGTGTTTCATGAGTACAGAGTTTCACTTTTGCAAGATGAAAGGATTCTGGAGATTGGTTGTGCAAGAATATGAGTATTAAAAGTAAGAAACTGTATTTCACTTTATCAGATATACCAATATAAATAATAAATGGACTGAATTCTTGAAATATATGTATAAGCATAGAGAAAAGACTGGAAAACACATACCATTTTTGCCTCCAAGGTCACTCCTAAAAGAGATGACTGAGTCGGGAGAAGTTTCTGCTCCACACAATTCTGCATCATCTATTTGTTGCAAATAACATCAGCAATTTGTTAAAAAGTTACAGAAAAAGCTAAAAAGAGTTCCTGATAAAGAGAGCTGGGGGATAGCTCTAGCCCCCGTGTCATTTCTAAAATCAACTAAAAACAAGAAAGAGAAACAAAAAAGGAATCTCCACTTCTATGACGCCACCACTCAGCAGAGGACTGACCCCCAGGTGCTTGGCACCTGGGACCGGGAAGAGGAGGGACAGGATGAGGGAGACCCTCTGTAGAACTTGGGGGAGGCAAAGAGCATCAAGGTTTTTCTAGGGCTGAAGCACAAACTAGTGGAATCGTCAACCCTGAGCCCCGCTCTCTTTGGAGCCACAAGGTCAAGTCCATGGGCAAAGGTCAAATCCATGGGCAAACCTCGAAACCTCTTTGGACACTGTGAATGACAGCAGGAAGTGGGGAGGAAACACGGACGAGTATCTGCCAGAGCAAGTGGTTGTATGTTCCCAGTGTGGGAGAAACTGCAGGTCGAGACCAGCCTCAGCCATGCTGACACCAGTCGCTGAGAAGTGCAAGTTAAATCACCCCAAATCTGTGACATGTAGGTTTTGGTGTGAGTCAAAGAGACTTCCCGTTAGTCTGGAGAGGACCACACCCCACAAAGAGGAGCACAGAACACAGGATGAACGCAGGAAGGCAGGACTCACGCTGCCTGGCCTGCCAGCACGTCCCCCGGCCTAGGCCTAGCACTGCCCGAAACTCGCTGTCAGTCTGATGACCGATGACGCGGATATATCCTTTCTCAGAACAAGGACTTCAAGTGAGTGAAATAAAACACAGAGATGACAAAGGGAATGGTCAAACATTTTTAAAGTTTGTAATATTTATGCAGCAATTAATCATATCTAGCAGTGCGCCTAATAACTGGCATAATTTGAAAGTTGTGGTGACAGCAACTGACATTTCAGCAAATCTGTAACAATATGAAAGTATCTAATTACTAATGTGAAAAATGTATAGGACCTACCGATAATAATGGGCTGTGTCACTCACATTCATTAGAGAAAATAAAGAGAAAATTCTTCCCATCCAAACTCACAGATCTCCCCTGAACGATATCCACAGACTCCTTGGGGATATTTGCTAGCCTTCTCCCAACTACTCTCCAAAAAAGCGCTACTCCAGGAAAAACTCCATTATTTCAAGAACAGTGACCAATTTTTTTAAAAGAACCATCATGAAAACTATAAAAGATAATGTCAGAGGAGAAAACAAAAAGAGGAAAGGCATATGGCAGACAGAAAGATAATGGAGAACACTGAGCGATGATGGTATACCACAAAGCAGGCACAATAATGGCTCCCAGAGATGCCCATAGCTTAAATCCTATAAACCATAACTACATCATATGACACAGCGCTCTCATGGCGTGCCGCGGCGCTCTCATGACGTACCGCGGCGCTCCCATGACGTGACGGCGGCGCTCGCAGACGTGCGGCGGCGCGCTAATGACGTGCTGCGGCGCTCTCGTGACGTAGCGCGGCGCTCTGGTTTGAATACGCCCCAACAAAGTCATGTGCTGGAAGCCTCGTCACCAAGGCAATGGTGTTGGAAGGTAAGGGCCTCATAAGAGGTGATTAGTTCACGAGGACACTGTGCTTCTTAATGAGTTAATGTCATTATTCCAGGGAATGGGTTCGTTATTACAAGAATAGTTTTGTTATAAAAGCAGTGGCTCATGCTGCTAATCCCACCACTTTGGAAGGCTGAGGCAGGAGGATCCCTTGAGGCCAGGAGTTCAAGACCAGCCTGGGCAATGCAGCGAGACTCCCTCTCTACAAAAGATTTAAAAATTAGCTGGATCACTTAAGGCCAGGAGTTCGAGACCAGCCTGGAGCACACCTGTCATCCCAGCTATGTGGGAGACTGAAGTGGGAGGATCACTTGAGCCTGGGAATTCCAGGCTACAGTGATCTGTGATTGTGCCACAGCACTCCAGCCTGGATGACAGAGAGAGACCCTGTCTCTTAAAATAACAACCAAAACAAAAACAAGCAAGTTCAGCCTCTCTTGCTCTTACTCTTGCCCTCTGTGCCCCTTCTGCCTTCTGTCATGGGATGACACAGCATGAAGCCACTCACCAGATGCCAGCACTGTGCTCACTGTGCACTCAGTCTCCCGGGCCTCCAGAACGATGAGCCAAATACATTTCTGTTCATTATAAATAACCCTGGCTGTGCCATTGTGTGATAGCCACATAAAACAGATGAAGACACATAGCTAAGGAGAATTAAGGCAGCAGATGGAATTAAGTTTGTTAATCAGTTGACTTGAAGGTAGCGAGAGTATCTCAGACCATCCAGGTAAGCCTAATCTATGGACCCGAACATAAGGGTCTTTACAAGGGAAAGAGGAGGGTAAAAGGAGGGTCAGAGGGATGTGACGTGTGAAGGACTCAGATGAAAAGGGCCACGAGCTAAGGAATAACGGAAGCCTCTGGAAGCTGGAAAAGCAGGAGAACAGCATCTCCCCTGAAACACAGAGAGGAACGCAGCCCTGCCAGTGCCATGATTTTAGCCCAGTGAGGCCCATATTTTACTTCAGACCTGCAGAACTGTAAGATCATAATTTTTGTGGTTTTTCAGACAATAAATTTGTAGAAATTTCTTATGGCAGACATAGAAAACTAATACAATTGGGGAAAATTAGTTCTCTGTGAGATGGAAGAATTTACAGAATGCCTTGTCCATCACATGTAAGGGTCTGAAAAAGAAACATAAGAGTTGGACAACAAGGGCAACATGATGCAAAGGAGATGAAATGATGGACTGACAAACTCAGATAAAAAGAAAGGGAGAGAGTCTCCAGAAATGAAGATAACAATAAAAGCAGCACAAAAGAAAAACAGACTCCGCTCCATTGTCATTCAGTGTGGTGGAGAACATGATTGAGAAACGGAGCAAATGAGACAGCAAAGGAAAAAATGTTTAAGAGCATTTTAAAGCCAAATGAAAGATGTCTAAGTCAAAGACAAGAATAGGCCGGGCGCAGTGGCTGACGCCCGTAATCCTAACACTTTAGGAGGCCAGTGCGGGCAGATCACTTCAGGCCAGGAGTTCAAGACCAGCCTGGCCAACATGGCAAAACCCCATCTCTACTGAAAATATAAAAATTAGCCAGGCATGGTGGAATGTGCCTGTGGTCCCAGCTACTTAGGAGGCTTGAGGCAGGAGAAGCGCCTAAACACAGGAGGCGGAGGTTGCAGTGAGCCGAGATCATGCCATTGCACTCCAGCCTGGGTGACAGAACGAGACTCAGTCTCAAAAATCAAACAAACAAAAAAGACAAGAATAAACGCAAGAGAATAAATGTCAAGGACTTGAAAAAAACTCTCCACCAGACACAGTGGCTCACACCTGTAATCCCAACATTTCGAGAAGCCAAGGCAGATGGATCACTTGAGCCCAGGAGTTCAAGACTAGCCTGGGCAACATAGTGAGACCAGATCTCTACAAAAAATTACAACATTTAGCCAAGTGTGGTGGCACATACCTATAGTCCCAGCTACTCGGGACCTTGAGGCAGGAGGATCCTTTGAGTCCAGGAGATCAAGGCTGCAGTGAGCAACCTCCACTGCACCCTGGGCAACAAGAGTGAGACCCTGTCTCAAAAAACAAGCAAACAAAGCAGAAGACAAAAATCCTTCCTTAAAGTATGCTTCAATCTACCAAATAAAATGGCACAATGTCATAAAAAAGAATGAAATCATGTCTTTTGCAGCAACATGGATGGAACTGATGGGCATTATCCTGACTGAAATAACTTAGAAAGTCAAATACTGTGTGGAAGCTAAACCATGTGTACACAAGGACACACAGAGTGGAGGAATAGATATTGAGACACAAAAGGTGGAAGGGTGGGGAGGTGGAGGTTGAAGAATTACCTGTTGAGTACGAGGTTCACTGTTGGGTGACAGGTGCACTAAGAGTCCTGACTTCCCAACAACACGACACATGCTTTTCAGAAACCTGCACTTGTACCCACTAAATACATATTTTTAAGAATTTAAATAAAATTAAAAATAAATTAAAAGTCACAATGTGTTTCAAGAAGTGATTCAGGATGTGCAGCACTTGGGAATATATTTCAAAGACTGAGAAATTATTCTGTGGACAAAAATCGGCAAATCAAGGCTTCTATAAATGAGAACAATGAAGCCACCCACGGATTTCTACTTAACGTCATTGGATTGAAATATTTTTTTGTTTGTTTTTTGAGACAGTCTCACTCTGTTGCCCAGGCTGCAGTACAATGGCATGATCTCAGTTCACTGCAACCTCCACCTCCCCAGTTCAAGTAATTCTCCTGCCGCAGCCTCCCAAGTAGCTGGGACTACGGGTGTGCACCACCATGCCTGGCTATTTTCTGTATTTTTAGTAGAGATGGGGTTTCCCCATGGTGGCCAGACTAGTTTTGAACTCCTGGGCTCAAGTGATCCACCTGCCTTGGTCTCCCAAATTGCTGGGATTACAGGTGTGAGCCACTGCACCAGGCCTGCTTGAAATCTTAAAGCAAAGTTTGACTTAAATATGCAGTCAACATTCATTCAAGCCAAAGGTTGTGATAAAGCTATTTTTAAAACAGATAAGAACTTTTAAAATACCATTCTCATGACTACTTTTTGGAAAAAAAAAAAAAACCCTGTTAGAGTATAACCTTAAGCCAACTATGTAATCAAAGGAGAAGATATTGAAAAATGATGTTGGTGGGCCCTGATTTTTTTTTTCACATTTTACAATTAACTTTTATCAAACTAATGGATGCACATGACTTTTAAAAACTGCTAAGCAGTCAGCCTTTCTGTGGGCAATGTGCTAGTTAAACTCCATTTTCCACTATCCCTACTTGGGGTGCTTATGTATCTAATTAAACTGCTCATATCCAAGCCGCCTTTGCAGACAGGAGTGACCATCTGTCACAAAACTGGCCAGAGAGACACTGGCAGAAGCCATTGAGTCACTTTTTTAAGGAACCTCTGACAGAGTTCCATTTCCAGAATGGCAGTGTGAGGAGCTCAGTGTACCCATTCCAAGAAAAAAAAAATTCCTAACTCATGCTAATTGTAAAAATATCAACCATTTAATTTACCTGAAAATTGTCGAAAAGGCAGGGAACAAATGAAGAAATCATTATTCCATAAAATCTACAAAATTCCTCTGTAAGAACTGAGAGTCTTACCCTTGAACCTGACCCTGCCCACTCTTCTCAGCATGACAGAGGCTCCACTCTGGGTGAGTGGGGCCAAGAAGTTGGGGCCCCTCTACCTTCACCTCTCAATCTCATCAGAAGCTGCCAGTATTCCTCATCCCCTCCAACTCTGAGTTACAGAGGGTAAATTCCCAGCTTTGCCCTAAGCATGGCAAGCTGAGAATATTTGCACCCCAGGGACCTTTTGCCCCAGCCCCTGGGTGGAGCTTCCATGCCAGGAACTTCCACATGGATGCTAATATCAGCATTATTCATAAAAGCAGAAAAGTGGGAACAATCCAAACATCCAAAGGGATAAATAAAATGTGGCATATTCATTGTGTGGCTATCCATACAGTGGCATATTACTTGGCAATGAAAAGTAAACAATTACTGATATATTCAATTACATGGTTGAACTTTAAACATATATGACATGAAAGAGGGTACTTGCAAAAGACCACATACTGTATGGTCCCATTTATATTAAATGTCCATGAAAGACAAATCTATAGAGACAGAAAGGATGTTAATGCTTGCCTAGGGCTGGGGATTTGGGAGGAAATGAAGAGTGACTCATATCAATAAAACTATTAATTTTAAAAGGTCCTATAAAAGAGGAAGACTTCCTTGGAATGTACCTTTTAGACTTTGTCTTTCCTCATCTACTGCAGAACATGGGGATACAAAAGCCATATTGAACCTGTGAGGACAAAAGCCACACACTATCAATGACTGCGCGATAACAGTAAGAGTCTGGAACTGCGGTGACCTCATGAACTGATGCTCTTTCTCTTGACAGACAGCACACAACAATAGCCTTGGTAAGTCACTGTAATGTGTGCTTTCTTGTCATATGCAGCCAAGTGAAAATCCTAAATGAACACCTGCCCTCTCCATCCCATCCCACGTTCAGAAGCAGTGCTTTTAGCACTTTTGGCAGTGGTGGGAGGGGTTACCGCTTATCTCTTTACACTTAAATTGGCTTATACTGCTATTTCTTGATTTTTCCATTTTAGACATTGTTTACTGACTGATAAGACCATTGCAGATGCAGTTATTTTACACCTACCCTTCAACTCCCTTCCACCCATTTCCCCAACATAATTACTATTTTACATTAAACCATTCAATGTTTACAAATTTATCATTGTTAATGTTCTTCACTGCAAAGCCAAGTATTGAACAAAGATTTTTTTCTTCCACTGTCTTGTTTTTTCATGAGTTAATAAATCCTTTTTTTTTCATAATTGTCTGCATCTTCTTGTTATGTCTGGGTACACCATGACAGTCTATCAAGCCATCAATTCTAGGAGGGTCTCCTTTTACTCCCTCCAGACCACCCTCGGGGCACTCAATCTCTCGACACATTCTGTACTGGTTCCTCTAGAGGTCACTCTTCTGAAGCTTCTCCTTGCCCCTCGCCTTAGTTGGAGCCAAGATTTCCTGGACTCTGCTGTACCTTTCTCTTTCTTCATTTGCTCTCTTGTCTTGCCGAAGCACATCTTCCACGAGCTTCCTGAGAAAGCCATCATAAGGCAAATGTTCTGAGCGTTTCGGGCTGGAGAGTGTTGATGCTTCGTTCTCATACTTGATAACAGTTTATCTAGGTTGAAAAATTTAGGTTGACAATACTTTTTTTTCTTTTTTCTTTTTTTTTTTTTTTTTTTTTGTAGAGATGAGGTATCCCTATATTGCCCAGGCTGGTCTCAAATGCCTGGGCTCAAGAGATCCTCCTGCCTCAGCCTCCCAAAGTGCCAGGATTACAGGCATGAGCCACCACGCCTGACAACAATACTTTTTCCTTAAAATTTTGAAAGCGTTGCTCCTTTCTCCTCTGGCATCTAATGTCACTTTTGAGAAACACAATGCCATTCCGATTCTTGTTGCTTTTTTTGGTGATTTTTTTTCTTTGTTAGTTTTCTTCTCTTCTTTGGATGCTTACACGGTCATTCCTTCCTTGGTTCTAGAATTTCAGAGCCATGTGTGTCTTTTATGTACTGACACTTAAGGAGGCATTTCAACCTGAGATCAAATGTCACCAGTTCTAAGAAAGTCTTTTGCATGATTTCTTTGTTAATTTCCTCTCCTCTGTTTTCTCCTCCCTGTCTTTCTTTAAATCTTAATAATTGACTTTTAAAAATCTCCCTGCCTTGGCCGGGCGTGGTGGCTCACACCTGTAATCCCAGCACTTTGGGAGACCGAGGCAGGCAGATCATGAGGTCAGGAGATTGAGACCATCCTGCCCAACACCCCGTCTCTACTAAAAATACAAAAACTTAGCCGGGTGCGGTGGCAGGCACCTGTAGTCCTCAGGAGGCTGAGGCAGGAGAATGGCGTGAACCCGGGAGGTGGAGGTTGCAGTGAGCTGAGATCGCACCACTGCACTCCAGCCTGGGCGACAGAGCGAGACTCTGTCTCAAAAAATGAAATGAAATAAATGAAAAAATGAAATGAAATATGAAATGAAATAAAATAAATGAAATGAAATGAAATAAATGAAATGAAATGAAATAAATGAAACGAAATGAAATGAAATGAATCTCCCTGCCTTGATCTACCCAGGCTGTTTTGTCTGTTCATCATTTGGATCTATCTTTGGATAAATCCACTATTACTTGAATCTATCTTCTGATATATTCTATTTACTTTAATTTCCAGCTCTACTATTTTCTTATTAATTTTGGTTCACAATTTCAACTTCCAAGAGTTCTAGCTTTCAGACCACTCTTACTTGATAGAATCCTGCTGTTGCTTATCTATCTCTTTAAGTTTACTGTTAGCTTTTTTCTTTTGGTTTCATTTGTCCATTGCATTATGTTTTCTCACCTTTATTTTCTTGTCTCTTGCACATTTTCCTTAAATATCTCTAGATCCTTACCTATTAATTTAACAGTGAGGCACTAAAATAACAACGCTCTGAGAATAGATGAAGCTTACAACCTGAAGTGGGGAGCTTCTCTTCCAGAGCTGGGTATGAAACTACCCATTTTATTGGGGATGCTCCAAATGTCAGGATAAGGAGATATTTTCTCTGGATATACCCAGTTTCTCTGGAGAGGAGTCTACTAACCTTCTTTAGCAATTGGCCTCTGGCTGCTGATGTCCTGTGGTCAGGCAGGTCGACTTTTGTTTTGTTTTGTTTTGAGTCTCGCTGTCACCCAGGTTGGAGTGCAGTGGTGTAATCACAGCTCACTGGAGCCTTGACCTCCCAGACTTAGGTGATCCTCCCACCTCAGCCTCCAGAGTAGCTGGGACTACAAGTGTGCGCCACCACACCTGGCTAATTTTTTGTGTGTTTTGTTTTTTCGTTGTTGTTTGTTTCTTTGTTTTGTAGAGACGGGGTTTTGCCATGTTGCCCAATATGGCCTTGAACTCCTGGACTCAAGAGATTCACCCATTTTTGCCTCCCAAAGTGCTGGGCTTACAGATGTGAGCCACCAGGCAAAGCCAGGCAGGTTGACTTCTAATCCCTTTTGTACCTACACTGGCTTCTTAATTTCATCTCTCTCTGCACACACTATAGGTAGTATCTTAAACTCATCTCCCTCTGCACACACTATGGGTAGTATCTTAATCTCATCTCCCTCTGCACACACTATAGGCAGAATCTTAATCTCATCTCCCTCTGCACACACTACAGGTAGTATCTTAATCTCATCTCCCTCTGAACACACTATAGGTAGAGTAATTTCTTCTGCTCCATAAAATTTGTTATCATAGAGAGTGAACATTTTAGTACATACAGTGCACCCTTGAACAACATGGATTTGAATTGTGCAGGTGCACTTATATGTGGATTTTCTTCTGCTTCTGCCATTCCTGAGACAGCAAGACCAACCTCTCCTCCTCTTCCTCAGCTTACTCAATGTGAAGATGATGAGAATAAAGACCTTTATGATTCAACCTACTTCCAATGTATTTTATCTTCCTTAGGATTTTCTTAATAACATGTTCTAGTCTCTAACTTACTTTATTGTAAGAATATAGTATATAATATGTATGACATTCAAAATATGTGTTAATCAGCTGCTTGTGTTATTGGTAAGTCTTCCTGTCAACTGTAGGCTATTAGTAAAGTTTTGGGGGAGTCAGAATTTATATGTAGATTTTCACCTCTGTGTGTGCGTTTAGGGGTGTCAATGCCCTTAACCTCTACACTGTTAAGAATAAACTGTATACCGATAGTAGAAGTAAGCAATGGAGGATTATATTCATAATATCAGATTGGTAAATGCCTATTAAGATATGAAATGCAGAATCCATAAGATACTGGTACCTATGTAAAATTAGGCATTTTTTAAGGCAATAAAAAGTCCAATTGGAAGCATGGTATTAGCAGCAACAGGCCAGTTTTATATATCTAAAAGGTTTTTACAGATCAGCTCAATGGCCAGTTTTATATCTCTAAAAGGTTTTTACAGATCAACTCAATGGCCAGTTATATATGTTCAAAAGGTTTTTTACAGATCAGCTCAATAAAGATTAATATTCTGTTAGCAAAATGGGCAAATGACTAAAACACGCAGTTCGCCGACTGCAGTGGTTTATGCCTGGAATTCCAGCTCTTAGGGAGGTAGAGGCAGAGGAATAGCTTAAGCCCAGGAATTCGAGACCTGCCTGGGCAATATAGTGAGACCCCTTTCTCCACTAAAAAGAAAAAAAAAAAGTGTAAACCTGCAGTTCACAGAAAAGAAAAATACACAAAGGACTTACAAAATGTCTTTAAAATATGCTTAATATACTGATAATTAAATACATAGAAATTAAAACAATAAATCAGCCAGGCATAGTGGGGACTGCCTGTCATCTCAGCTACTCATGAGGTTAAAGCAGGAGGATCACTTGAACCCGGCAGTTCAAGCCCAGCCCGGGCAACACAACGAGGCCCCATCTTCAAATATAATAATCATCTATTACCGTTTCATAAAATAAAGATTAAGAGATTTGGGGCCGGACCTGGTGTCTCACGCCTATAATCCCAGCACTTTGGGAGGCCAAGGCGGGCGGATCATGAGGTCAGGAGATCAAGACCATCCTGGCTAACACGGTGAAACCCGTCTCTACAAAACCCCATCTATACAAAAACAAAAAAATTAGCTGGGCATGGTGGCTGGCACCTGTAGTACCAGCTATTCGGGAGACTGAGGCAGGAGAATGGCGTGAACCCGGGAGACGGAGCTTGCAGTGACCCGAGATCACACCACTGCACTCCAGCCTGGGAGACAGAACGAGACTCCATCTCAAAAAAAAAAAAAGAGAGAGAGATTTGGTAAAACACAATGTTGGCAAAATGAGGAAATTTTGCAGCATTGCACATTTAGAATGTAATGTATGCTGCCATGACTATTTTCTCCATTTGACCAAGAGCCATCAGTATTGTTAATAAATGTATCCACTGAACTAGTATTTCTATGTGTTAAGAATTTATCCTACAGATATATTTGTAATAAATACAGAAAATGTGTATGTATACAAAGATGTTCATTGAAATACTGTTTGTGATATCTCATAACTGGGGCAATCTGCTATCTGGTGTGATTCCCAGGCAAGGGCCAGCCTGGGAACTGCCTTTTAACCTGTTTGTGACAAGATGAGAACTTGTGCCAGCATCTGTGTCAACTACATTACCAAGCACGTTAAAAGACTCTTTTTTTTTTTTTTTTTTTTTTTTTTGAGACAGGGTCTTACTCTGTCACCCAGGCTGGAGTGCAGTGGCGTTATCAGAGCTCGCTGCAACCTCGACCCCCCGGGCTCAAGCAATTCTCCCACCTCAGCCTCCCGAGTAGCTGGGACTACAGGCACACGCCACCACACCCAGCTAATTTTTTTGTGTTTTTTGTAGAGATAGGGTTTCACTATGTTGTCCTGGTCTCAAACTCCTGGGCTCCAGCCCAGGATTCCCCTGGGTCCCCCAAAGTGCTGGGATTACAGGCATGAGCCACTACGCCTGGCTCAAGACTGTCTCAAAGTCCACAGCAATATGTTGATTTACATCTTGATTAGCCTCCTTATGCGCTGGTACTTTCAGTCACATGGGTTTTTAGGAGAGTATATAAATCAATTTTGATAGAACCAAAAAATACTTGGTTTTGAAAAAGGATGAGAAAAAGTTATTTAGTTTTACGTTTATAAAAAAAAATTGAGCACGTGTCTGTGTGTCCAAAATTCAGTTTTTAGATGCTTTTTATTTGTGCAAATACAAGGAAAGGGGTATTTAGTAACATAACCATCTTTCTGGAAAGATTTATAAGAATTTGAGTAACAGTGTTTGCCTCTGGAGAGAGGAACTGAGAAATTGGGAAACTAGAGATTTGAATTTTTTTTAAAAAAATTGTTTTTCATTGTGTTCCATTTATAGCATTTTAATTTTTAGGCCCTGTGCATGTACAAATAAAAATAAGATGTTTAATAATTAAAAACAATAAATAGGAACACTTAAAAGAAAGAATTATTGGCTGAGTGTGGTGGCTCACGCCTGTGATCCCAGCGCTTTGGGAGGCCGAGGCGGGCAGATCACAGGTCAGGAGTTCGAGACCAGCCTGGCCAACATGGCAAAACCCTGTCTCTACTAAAAGTACAAAAAATTATCTGGGCATGGTAGCCGGTACCTGTAATCCCAACTGCTCAGGAGGCTGAGGTAGGAGAATGACTTGAACCCAGGAGGCGGAGGTTGCAGTGAGCCAAAATCGTGCCATTGCATTCCAGCCTGGGCAACAAGAGCGAAATCCTGTCTCAAAAAAAATAAATAAAAATAAAAAATTTTTATATCCATAGCATGGAATGTTCCACACCTGTTAAAAACAATAAAATAACTTATACTTTAATAGGTTTTTTTAAAAACTGAGGTGGGGATATTTGGGTCTACTTAGATGGAGCAGGTAGTTCCATTCCAAATCCTTCCAGGTCCTCGCTTACAACACATGAAACAAGCATAGGAAGACCCTGACAGATTTAAAGGAAAAATGGATGCCAGGGACATCATGGCTATAGGAACTATAAGGTGGTGAGGTCCCTGGATCCGCTTCTCATCTCCCATGTATCCTGGACAAGGCACTGCAGAAGCCCCCAACCCAGAATGGCCAACACAACACAGACCAAAAAAAAGTTTCTTGCCCTAATCAAAGGACCAAGGAAAGGGTGCCCTAAAAACCAAAAACAGAAAACCCAAACACCAACAGAAAACAGGCCCCAACCATAGATCAGTTCACCTAATGCCCAACCTCTGAGGACAGATGTTGTCAAAAAGGTTTCAGTGGAGCATGCTTCCCCCATGCATTTCCATCATGCTCAGGGTCCCCTGCCATCCACAAGCAAGTCATCTCAAATACAATGATACAGGTAGGTTGAAAGTTAAAGGATTTTCCTGTAATCCCAGCACTTTGGGAGGCCGAGACGGGCGGATCACGAGGTCAGGAGATCGAGACCATCCTGGCTAACACAGTGAAACCCCGTCTCTATTAAGAAATACAAAAAACTAGCCGGGCGAGGCGGTGGGCGCCTGTAGTCCCAGCTACTTGGGAGGCTGAGGCTGGAGAATGGCGTGAACCCGGGAGGCGGAGCTTGCAGTGAGCTGAGATCCGGCCACTGCACTCCAGCCTGGGTGACAGAGCGAGACTCCGTCTCAAAAAAAAAAAAAAAAAAAAAAAAGAAAGTTAAAGGATTTTATTTTTACAAAAAGATATGGGGCTGGACATGGTGGCTTACACCTGTAATCCCAGCACTGTGAGAAACCAACCAGAGAGGATCGCTTGAGCCCAGGATTTTAAGGTTACAGTGAGCCATGATTGTGCCACTGCACTCCAGCCTGGGTAACAGTGTGAGACCCTGTCTCAAAAAAAAAAAAAGCAAGCATCTGCTCCTTTAAGATGCAGTAGACAGACCAGGCCGTGGTAGCTCATGCCTATAATCCCAGCACTTTGAGAGGCTGAGGCAGGAGAATAACTTGAAGCCAAGAGTTCAAGACCAGCCTGGGCTACACAGTGGGACCTCTGTTTCTCCAAAAAAAATGTAATAGATAAGAAGTCTTAGACTAGATGAATGCTCACTCAGTCTCAAAGTCATTCACCAAGACACCCTTGTGGGTGAGGACACCTTTGTGTCCTCAGAAGGCCTCTCGCACTCAGATACTTAAACTCACCTTCACACAGGTTCTTTCTACCATACAGCTATAAACACAGGTCCATGTCCAGGCCATGCTGTCTACAGTATAGCATGTGTACAATTCTTATTCATAGTCCTATAACTATGTTGTTCAAGGTACAATATTATTGCAAGACATTTCCAAGTGTGATAGAATGTTAAAAAGAAAAGAAAAAAAAAAGTCCAGACTTTAATGTTACAGTGAACTGTGACAAAGATTCCCTCCTTTACCAAACTTCAGTCGGACTCCTCAGAATCTTCTCCTCAACCAGGACTTGACATTGGCCCCCATCCTCTCATCAACCTGCCTAGCCCAGTTTTAGCAAGAATCCTGCTAAGTCATTCCCCACATTGACATCTGACTATCCTCACATCTGATTGGGTTGCTTATCCCTCACAGTCCCCCAGGTGATATCTGATCACCCTGGCCTGTCTTCAGCAAGAATCTTGTTAGATCAATTTAGCAAGAATATCCCTACCTTTGTTAAGGAAAAATTATTCAATGGTACTTGTTAAAGGACGAGAGGGCTGACTTTGTTCTGGACCCTTGTGATAGGTGTAGGTAACACGGCAGTGGGATCTAGCAGTGGGAGAGAGGTTGGGTCAAACTCCAAATACAACAAGGAAGGGGGGGTATTTATAACCAAAGAGAAGGGTGGGGGTCAGTAGATAAAAAATTACAAAGAGAAAATATCAGGAGTAAGGGGGGTTCTGGTTGAACTGGCCTAAGAGTAGTCTTGCTGAAGGCGGACTGGGGTAATTGAACATTGCCTGGGGGATAATGAAAAATAAGGAACCCGATCCGCCATTGAGGATAATCCGATACCAAGGATGAGGATATTCTTGTTAAACTGACTTAGCAGGATTCTTGTTAAAGCTGGATTTTATAAGGAAATGCACAGATGGGTCTAGGAAAAGGTTCAGGAGCCTGATTAAAGTCAAACTGAGAATCTTTTTCACCTTTCATATCTCCTCTTAGTAATCTCTGTCGACTGACTCCCGCCCTGCTCCCTAGCCATAAATCCCAACGTGCCCTTGTTGCATTCAGGGTTGAGTCCATTCTCTCTCCCGTATTACAATACCCCTGCTGGAATCATGTTAAATAAAGTCTTTGTTACTATTTCAAAAAGCAATGGAATATGTTTTGAGAAGGGTCTCACTCTGCCACCCAGGCTGGGATGCAGTGGTGATTCATTATGGTTCACTGCAGCCTCGACCTCCCTAAGTTCAAGAGATCTTCCAACCTTAACCTCCCAGGCTGCTGGGACTACAGGTGCACACCAAAACCCACCAGGCTAATTTTTGTACTTTTTGTAGAGACAGGGTTTTGCCATGTTGCCCCAGACTGGTCTTGAACTCCTTGGCTCAAGTGATATACCAACCTTGGCCCCCCAAAGTGCTAGGATCACAGGTGTGAACCACCATGCCCGGACAGAATATTTTTTCCTTTAACGATGACTGTGGCTGTGTGTGGTGGCTAATGTAATTGTAATTCTAGTGCTTGTGGGAGGCTGAGAAGGGAGGATTGTTTGAGGCCAGGAGTTTGAAATTAGGCTGGCCACACCACACATAGCAAGACCGTATCTCTACAAAAATATGTTTAAAAAATTAGCCAAGCATGGTTGTGTGCACCTGTAGTCCCAGCTACTCAGGAGGCTGAGGCAGGAGGATCTCTTGAGCCCAAGAGTTCGAGGCTGCGGTAAGCTATGATTGTGCCACTGCCCTCCAGGCTGGGTAGCAGAATGAGGCCCTCAATTCAAATAATAATAATAATAATAAAACAATGGCTGTCACTCAAGCTCCTAATGGTATAACATCAAAAGTCCCAGAGTGAAATCATTTTGCAAAAAAAAAAAACCCCAACTTCCAAGTTTTTCATTAGTCAAATATTTTCATCACTGTCTTTTTTGTGCTCGCAGATATAAGCCTATCTCATTGCTTAGTGTACTGGAATCTTGAGTTTTCTGTGAAAGGAAGTGTATTCTCTGTAAACATTTAAAACACACCAGAGTTTCATAACTCTGCTTTGTCATTTCTTTCTTTCTTTTTTTTCTTTTTTTAATATACCGAGCTTCTCAAAAAAAAAGAAAGGAAAGGGAAGTAGCCTGAAACTGTTGTTGCAATGTTTTTCCTAACCACACTCTGAGCACGACTCTTTTCAGGAGCCCGACTCCAGCTGCTGCTACAGCACATCTTGAGCTGGGGCATCCCCGCACCTTAGACCTGACCTCTCTCCCCTCTGGGACTGTATATGTAGCCCAGCAGTCTGGCCTTGGCTCACCTGCTTAACAGAGAGGGGAGTCCCTCATTTTCCTCCAATGGAGGCTCCTATTACTCTCTTCTGCCCTCTCCTGGTCATGGGTGTTAGTGACAATCATCCCTCCACCCTCCCCAAGGTTAAGAAGAGGAAGGAGGAAGAGCGGAGGACCGCGGAGGAGCACCGGGCGGATGGAGAAATGTAATTGCTGTAAAAAAGAGTGCATGATTGGCGACACAGAAGTTTCCAGGACAGAAGCGAAGGGTGGGATATTGGGGAAAGATGGGGCTTGCTTGCATGAAGCCTAATATAAAGAGGTGCTGGTATAAATGGAATGTCCGAGTCTCTGCCAAATTCATATGTTGAAATCTTAACCCCCCAGATGAGGGTATTAAGAGATGAGGAATTGGAGAGGTGATTAGGTCATGTGAGTGGACCCCCCTGAAGGGAGAATTAGTGTCCTTCTAAAACGGGCCACGGAGCCATCCCTTGTCCCTTCCACCATGTGAAATTATAACTAAGGAATATACATGGCCATCAGTAGCACAGAAAACATATCCTCACCAGACACCAGACCTGCTGGTGTCTTGATCTTGGAGTTCCCAGCTTTCGGAGCTGTGAGAAATAGATTTCTGTTGGGCCAGGTGTAGTACCTCACTCCTGTAATCCCAACTCTTTGGGAGGCCAAGGCAGGAGGATTACTTGAGGCCAGGAGTTTGAGACCAGCCTGACAAAATAGCGAGACCTCATCTCTACAAAAAATTAAGTTAGCCAGGTATGGTGGCATGTGCTTGGAGTCCCAGCTCCTTGGGAGGCTGAGGCTGGAGGACTACTTGAGCCCAGGAGTTTGAGGTTGTGGGGAGCTATGATCGTATTACAGTCCAAACTGAGTGTCAGAATGAGACCCTGTCTCAAAAAACAACAACAAAAAAATCCTGTTGTTTATAAGCCACCAGTCCATGGCGGTTTGTTACTCACCAAAATACAGGAGATGGGGAAGAAAGGATCGAGGAGGACACAGGTGGGAGTGAGTCTCACATACAGTTGTTACTCTGAACTTAGGTAAGAATTCTCATTTTCTCGTTTGGTTGTAGAATCAGTCAATCTTGAAATCGAGATTCTATAGGTCAGCAGGAACAACTCCCTTTCCTGATTGTGACCAGGAAGGGAAGAAGTGAAGGCTTTGCTGCCACACTCCTGCTCATCAGTTTCCCTGACATTAAGGCCCAGCAATCCTGCCTGGGAGGCTGGGAGAGCGAGCCCCTGTTTTGTTGGGAAGTTGGACCAGAGACTCGTGGGCCCATCCAGTTCTGAACATCTAGAAATCCAGGGACATGGACAGAGAGTTCTTCCCCACCCTTTCACAGGGTTGTGAGATGGCCTCCCAGTGTGCTCTCAGGTTTTTCTGTCTCTAGAGCTCAAGGGCCCTGACAAAACTCTGCTTGGACAGAGCAACTGTGACAGTTAATCTTATGTGTCTACTTGACTGGGAAGAGATGTCAAAAGAAGTGGTAAAACATTATTAGGTGTGTCTGTAAGGGTGAATCTGGAAAAGGTCAGCATTTATATCAGCCTAGGTAAGGAAGATCCGCCCTCACCCACACGGGCAGGCATCTTTCCACCCGCTGAGGAGCCGAATGGAAAAGTGGAGGGAAGGCAAATTCTCTCAGAGCTGGGACATTCACCTTCTCCTGTCCTCGGACATCAGTGCTTCTGCTTCTGAAACCACTTTTGCAAAATTATGACTGAAACAGTGAAAGAAATCTAACTTAACTGACTCCTTCTTGCTTCTAACCTCCAAACTGTCCTTGTTCATTCCTGGGCATAAGCTGAACTAACTAACTTTGGGAGAAACTTAGTTTATAATTTACCTGGTTTTTTTGTTTGTTTTTTTGGGGGGGGGTTTGGTTTTTTTTGTTTGTTTGTTTTTTATTTTAAGACAGAGTCTCGCTCTGTCGCCCAGGCTGGAGTGCAGTGGTGCAATCTCGGCTCATTGCAACCTCCGACTCCTGGGTTCACGCCATTCTCTTGCCTCAGCCTCCCGAGTAGCTGGGACTACAGGTGCCTACCACCACGTCTGTTTAATTTTTTGTATTTTTAGTAGAGATGGGTTTTCACCATGTTAGCCAGGATGGTCTCAATTTCCTGACCTCGTGATCCATCCACCTTGGCCTCCCAAAGTGCTGGGATTACAGGGTGAGCCACCTCGTCCGGCCTATAGTTTAAAACAAAGACCATAGTTTAAAACAAAGTCTTCTCCCAAAGCAGACCTCCTTCTTGTCTGGGGACTAGGTTGTCTTTGTAGGATTAACATTAGCCACAAGATTAGAAATTATGGTTTAAGAGTCATGCAGCTGGAGGTTACAAGATTCTGACCCTCACTAAACTGCTCCTAAGATCAGTGGCTTGAGATATTTGGCAGACCCTGCACTTAATGGATCAGCTGGCATCATGCAGATTAACTGGCTCACCTGATCTTGTGGCCCCCACCCAGGAACTGACTCAGTGCAAGAGGACAGCATCAATTCCCTACGATTTAATCTCTGACCAGTCAGCACTCCTGGCTCACTGGCTTCCCCCCACTCACCAAGCTGTCCTTAAAAACTCTGCTGCCCAAATGTTCAGGGATACTGATTTGAGTAACAACGAAACTCCGTTGTCCTGCACAGCTGGCTCTGTGTGAATTACACTTTCTCCATTGCAATTCCTCTATCTTGCTAAATTGGTCTGTCTAGGCACTGGGCAAGGTGAGCCCATTGGGCAGTTATACTTCTCCAGCGTTCAAGCTCAGACTCAATTCCTTGACTGGCTTTCCTGGCTCTCTAGCCTACAGAGAGCAGGTGGTGGAGTTTCTCAGTTTCCAGAATCATGTGAGCCGATTCCCATAATTAATCTCATATACTATATGTATCCTGTGGATTCTGTTTCTCTGAAGAACCCCCCAAAATATAGCACACAATCCTAATTTTTCCTACCACTCACTCCCCAGCAACATTTTAATTTGGCCAAGTTCACTGTTGCTTATAGCAGAACACAAAAGCACCAAACTGAGCAAAACAGGGAAGCAGGAATCTCTCTCCTTGAGACCCAGAGCGCCACACTGTGGAGCAATTAACTGTACGGGGGCCTCCCCTCCCTTCACCCTCACAAGTCAGGCTCACTTATAAACCCACCAGCCACGTTAGGCCATCTTCACCTGTCTAGAGCTGGAGATACTAGAAATCATCTCATCTCCTATCCTTCCTTTCGGAAAGGATACACTGAGACCCAGAGAGGCCAGCTTGCTCCGGGTTAAAACACTTTCACTTCTAGGGCAGGGGCTCTCAAATGATTTGGTTCAAGGTCGCATTACACTCTTGAAAATGAGGACTCCAGGGGGCTTTCGTGTGAGGATTATATCTATTGATATTTACTGTATCAAAAGCCAAAACAGGCCTGGCACGGTGGTTACGCTGTAATCCAGCACTTGGAGGCGAGGCGGGGTCAAGGTCAGGAGATGAGACCCGGTGAAACCGTTCTATAAAATACAAAAATAGCCGGGCGTTGTGGCTGTAGTCAGCTACTCGGAGGCTGAGGAGAGAATGGGTGAACCGGGAGCGGAAATTCAGTCAGCCGATGTGCACTGCACTCCAGCTGGGGAAAGCGGGGAATTTCCGTCTCAAAAAAAAAAAAAAAAAAAAAAAAAGCCAAAACAGAAAAACTATTGAAAGTCTGAGAAGAGTAGCACTGACTTACAGTTTGCACATCTTACTCACATCTGACTCAGCAGAAAGCAGCTGGAGTCTCTAATACTTCTGCATCTTTAGTCCGTTGCAATATCACAGAGCATTAGCCTGTTGAAAATTCCAGTCTAAGCCGGGCACAGTGGCTCATGCCTGTAGTCCCAGCACTTTGGAGGGCTGCGGTGGGAAGATCGCTTGAGCTCAGGAGTTCGAAACCAGCCTCAGCAACATAAAGAGACCCCGTTTCTACAAAAACTTAAAAATTAGTTGGGTGTGGGGATGCAGGGCTGTGATTCCAGCAACTCAGGAGATTGAGATGGGAGGGTTGCTTGAGGCCAGGAAGTTGAGGCTGCAGAGAGCCATGATCATGCCATGGAACTTCAGTCTGGGGAATGAAGTGAGACCCTATCAAAAAAAAAAGAGAAGAAGGGAGGAAGGGAAAAAGAAAATTCTAGTCTACACTTGTGAGAGTGAAAACAGTGTCATAGTATGATTATGAAAATAGTTTTGACCTTGCAGATCCCCTGAAAGATCTCAGGAATTCCATGGGGATCCCCCGACCACACACTGAGAAGTATAGGTATAGAATAAGCAAGAGCATGTCTGGAGTCCTTGTCTCCTAAATCTCCGTCTGCTACCTTTATTTCTTATTTTATTTCTTACTTATTTTTATTTACTTATTTATTTATCTTGAGATGGAGTCTTGCTCTGTCACCAGGCTGGAGTGCAGTGGCACCATCTTGGCTCACTGCAACCTCCACCTCCCAGGTTCAAGCAATTCTCATGCCTCAGCCTCCCAAGTAGCTGGGATTACAGGTGTGTGCCACCACACCTGGCTAATTTTTGTATTTTTAGTAGAGACGGGGTTTCACCATGTTAGCTAAGCTGGTCTCGAACTCCTGACCTCAAAGGATCCACCCCGCTCAGCCTCCCAAAGTGCTGGGATTACAGGTGTGGGCCACCACACCTGGCCTATTTTTTATTTTTATATACTAATTGTGGAGAATCCCTGGGTTTTTTTTTTTTCACCTTTATTTTTAAAAATGTTTTTGAGATGGGTCTTGCTACATTGCACAGGCTAGACTCAAATGCCTGGGCTCAAGCTATCCTGCTGCCTCAGCCTCCTGAGTAGCTTCAATTACAGGTACATGCCACCACACTTGGCTCCATCTGCTGCCTTTCTAGCTTATGGCAGTATTATACATTACACTGTCTCTTACCTGTATTGAAATCATGTATCCCATACATGTATACAATTACAATTTGTCAGTTAAAAATTATATTAATTTTGAAAAGCAATACGTAAAAGGTAACCCCCCAAAAATCAAAATTTTTTAGGTCTTTAAAATAAAATCTGGAGAATAGCTAACATATTCTGTCAGGACTGTCAGACTAAGAAGAGAAGCGCATGAGTCACTTCAACACAATGGTTACTTTTCTTTTCAGAGAAATTGAACTAGAATTATAAAAGACTTATTCAAATGTTGTCATGGGCAGCAAAAAAAAAACAAAACTAACAACAGTGATTTCCAGTCAAAGCCACGAGTGGACACATGAAACCACTTTTGCAAAATTATGACTGAGACAGTGAATGAGGTTTAACTTAACTCACT